TTCGAAAATACGACTCGGATTTCAGCATACTATTTCTACGATTCGTGGCAAAATCCGAATACGAAACAGTTGCAAAATAGGGGTGTAAGTCTTTGAATAACCTTTATAGATGACTCGAAAATATGTATCTTAACATAATGATTATTGATTGACTTTTATGCTTTTCTCTTATAATAGTTATGTCTCTGTTCTTTATGAATGTTTATCAGATGCCAAGGCATTGGGGCATCAACTTCAAGTTAATTATATTCACCAGCTCATACAGGCACGCTACTTTTGTCAGTCTCTGCAGCTTAACGTACTTTACACACAAACGCTCCGTCCCAGTTATTAACGTTTGGATGACAATATGAACATTGAAGAATATGTACCAGGTGTGAAAATAATTACGCACACCGGAATGCTAAAGTGCCACGTGCCAAAGTATCTGGACTGCCCCATTATGCCCGAAGTGTAAACTTTCTTCAACGCCGATAAAATTTAATTCCAGAAAATTATGTCCAGCATTTATCAGCGGCTTTAACCGAGACATAACCCTTCCTAACGTTACCGGATAATCTGCTTTTGCAACCCGGGCGACATAAAATTTATGTTAAATTGCATCAACATCTCAATGTTCAAATTTTCCTCTTTTGTAGGTGGTTCAGTTAAAGAAAACCCCAATACGCCAAATGAAATGGAATACAAATTTAATTTGGGCTTTGTCGAATATAAAACTACTGAGACCGATATTACAGCCATGGGCGTAGCCAGAACGAAATTTAGGGGGGGGGCCCATACAAAATAAAAAATTCAAAACCAATAACTTACTTATGTACTAAAATTTTTTTTATTATAGCTTAAAATTATTGTAACCAATAAAGGTAAATATGTTGTACAAAAAACAAATAAACAGAAGTTCACAAAAGTTGATATAAAACTATTCGTCGATTTAAATTGTTAACTTTTTACTGAGCATGTTTATTTTACGAGGAGGAAGCATCGAAAGCCTAACCCCTTCCGTGTGAGACTTTAACCCAAACTAAAATTCCTACCGTCATGTACCGTTCCCCTCCCGGTACCACCGTCAAGGATTTCGTCGGGATTATAACACTGTGTGACTGATAAGGTTATAGATCTATTCTCTTCCTCTTCTTCCTTTTTGGCGCTGTAACCGCCAAAGCGATTTTGACCAACTGACGCCTATTAGAAATGCCAAGTGAAGCCAGAATACTTTCAGAGCTGGGGCGTCGGTGTCCATTCGAACGACATGATCAAGCCAGTTGAGCCGCTATATTTTAATACGCCACATGCCAGCACGGGCATGATGAGTGATTTATAGTGTGGTTTTCGTACGTCGAGAGAGGACTTTACTCCTGACTTGCCTACTCAGTCCAAAGCAGCACTTGTTGGCACGAGCGATTCTGCGTTGGATTTCCATGCTGACATTATTACAGGTGTTAATGCTGGTTCCCAAGTAAACGAAATTCTCTACTTCCTCGAAATTATAACTGTCAAAAGTGCCGTGGGTGCCAGGCGCAAATGTGCTGATTGTTTGTTTGATGACAGGATATACTTCGTCTTGTCGTCGTTTACCACCAGACCCATTCGCTTTGCTTCCTTGTCCAACTTGGAAAAGTCAGGACAGACTTCGCGGTTTTTTCTTACCGATGATGTCAGTGTCATCGGCATAAGCCAGCAATTGTACGCTCTTGTAGTAAATTGTTCCTAAGCGGTTCAGTTCTGAAGATCTTATTATCTTCTCCAACATCAGATTAAAGAAGCCACATGAAAGAGAGCCGCCCTGTCTGAAACCCCGTCTGGTGGCGAAAGGCAACAGAGCAGAGCTGGTGGTATTACTCAACGTCATTTTTCACAGGCGTATGACAGACATAGCGGCATATACCTTTAAGTACTGTCGAAAGCGGCTTTAAAGTCGACAAATAGGTGGTGAGTGCGGATCATTTTCTCGCGGGTCTTTTCCAAGATTCGGCGTACTGTGAATACCTGGTCTATGGTAGACAATACATTCGATAAGACCTTGCAACCTATGCTTAGAAGGCTGATCCCGCGGTAGTTGGTACGCATGGCGGGGTCGCCTTTCTTGTGGATTGGGCAGAGCGCACTTAAATTCCAGTCGTCGGGCATGCACCTTATTACCTCCTTGCCATCGTAATTAAATAGCTCAGCTGACAGGCCGTCAGTTCAAACAGCTTTGGCACTTTTCTTCATAGTCAGGCGCTGGGATATCGACTCCATCGTCTTCGACTGGGACCTCGAAGTGCTTCCGCTATTCAAAAGGGTCGAAAAGTGTTCCCTCCATAATCTGAGTACGTTCTGGACATCGGTCACTAGGTCACCATGGTTGTTCATACAAGAGTCTTGAAACCTTCCGTAAGTCGCTCAACTCTCTGCTAAAAATTTCGGGTGTTTTTTCTGTCGGATAGCATTTCAAGCATTTTCTCACACTCGTGATCGTACCAGTAATTAGCGGGAAATGTGGTTCCACTGCTCGCGCAAGTCGGTTTGTTGAAGAGTGCTCTCTCACAGCAGGTGTGAGGGTCGAGCGCCGAATCCATTGGCCGTCTGTTTTGATTGCAGCTTTTCGACGTTGAACTTTCCCTGCATTGTTGGGGGCCCTTTTTTTGCTTCTCCGAGGTTAGGTCGTATATTCGATGCATCAATATAGTAGTGCGAGTCGATGTTTGGCCCTCGGAGTGTACGTATGTACATCTAAAACATGGAAGCATGTCTTCCGTCTATCACAACATGCTCGATTTGGTTTCCCGTTTTTCGATGTGGAGACATCCATGTAGCTTGAGAGAACGAAAAATGACACTGAAGATGGAACAACGCCGAAACCGGTTTGTCTCCATACCAAATTTGACAAGGGACGACGGAAAATCGTTCCACAATACATCACACTCCTACCCTGTCGGAAACACCAACAACGAAAATGAGAATAGCTTGATGGATGTTTTTATGCTAGAACCCAGTAATACATACTGCCAAGCTTCGGGCCCCGGCGAAGTGGATCATCCTCAGCCCGCCGTTTCTATGTGGAGGCTGATTTTTTCGACACTGGCACCAAAGATCCCTTCGTTGCCCACCTTGGCATTTTAATGGCCAAGCACGATTTTTATACGTGTCGGGGGCAGCGCTAATATGTACGCTCTAAGCTAAGAGAGCCTTGGACGCCTCGTCCTTCTCTTCCATCGGGGCATTGGCACATGTGAATGAGATGTTGAAGAATCTCGCTTTGATGCGGATTGTGGCTAGACTTTCGTCCACTAGAGTGAACGCCGGTCTCTCTCCCACCACAAATCCAACACCGAATTGCACTCCTTTACGTGGCAACTGTAGTAGACGTCGCAAGGCTCACGCTTACCTTCCTCGCCCCGTCCATCGCATTTCGTGGATGGAGCTGATGTCAGCCTTTATTTTCCCTAGGACTTCAACCAGCCGGGCAGAGGCACCATCCCGATTAATCCCCAGCGCACGCGGGGTGTTACGCCCTCCCACTTTACCTCGCTCCCAAACTAGCGTTCGGTCGCTACCAAGAGTATTCATGGATATAAATATCCGGACGTAGTTAGCTGCGATTTGAACCGTAAGCACACGAATCATTTCTGGCCACTCCCAGGTGAATGGCCGTCAAAAGCTTTGCAGTACTGGGAAATGTACAAAACATAGTGGCCATAAACGAATATCTCAACTAAACCCTGATGAATTTTTTTTAATTCGCTCTACATACCTGTATAATAAACCAAATAGCCGGACAAAACGTTAAATGATATACATACATATGTATGTATGTATAAGTATGAGGGCGTATTGAACATTTTGAGTACGCAGATTTTTTAGGCTGGTATATTTATTTATGCTAAATATATTACTTGATTTTGTTTTGTCACACTTTAGAAGTAAACGTCTTGGCTGTTCACCCAACCGCTTAGTAAAGACACAAACCTAAAGACAAAGTAATAAACAATTGAACTATAAATTTATTTATAGTTTCCGTTCCATCAATTTTTGCTCATTGTCGACTGCAGCCAGGTTTTTACCCTTTTAAAATGGAAGTGCTTTGAAGTTAGAGATAATAACTTGATACAGAACCGGATGATCCACATATCTACTTTTCAAATCAATTTACTAATTATTTAGTTAGCGTTGGGAGTATAATTTGTTATACAGTATATATATAGGAAAAACCTTGAAATTTAGGGGGGGCCGAAATTATCAAGCAAGCATTTCGTGGTAATATTTTTGAATATCTAGGCAAATATTTGAAAGTTAGGAGGGGGGGGCCCGGGCCCTCCCCCCCTGCCCCTACCTGGCTACGCCCATGATTACAGCAGAGGAATCGCAAAATACGCGTTTGGTTTGCAGTTCGAATCCTCCTTCCTATCCCCCAACTGTAAGCTCTGAAGTACCAAAAGTATACACGAAGCTGCTGCGTCTAATCGAATTTGATACTGTTGTCGCCACACATGGCCCTGGCATGGATGTGGATGGTAATAACTTTAAACAGATTTGTATACTCCATTTTGCTCATATTATTCTCTTTTTATTTCGCAATAGAACTGCCACCACACAAGCGTAAATCGAATAGTGAACTTGGACCACCTGCCAAGCAGCAAAAGACAATTTATCCAGCCTATTTTATACCAGAATTAGCGCACGTTATTGCGATGTTTTTTAATCTATCACAGGAATTGTCGAGACATGAAATACCAAATAGCGGCTTGCAAGTGGAAGCTAAGACTATGTTCAAACAGGCCAATTAGGTGAGGCAATTAAGCTTTTATTTGGGGCATTGAGTTTTGTGTTCACACACATACAATTTAGCTTATGCAATTAGTACTTGACAGCTGTGTGTTTTGATTTTACTTGTGAAAAATTCGGCGCGGAAAATGGAGAAAACTTGAGTTAAGGACGAATTTTACTAGCAGTCAATACTGTCAAAATTTGATTGCAGCTTGGCATTGTTGAGAAAAAGAAGGAGAAATAATTTGCTAGTCCTTCAAATTTAAGGATGCAGCAGCTACTGATCCTAGCAGCATTGGAACAAAATGCAACTCAAAGGTCGCTGTAGAAGCTGGTAAATTAAATTGAAATAAGTTTCAGTTTTTGTTCCAATCAATAATGTTTCCTTTTTACAGAATCGGCAATCTTCTTTTTGGGAGGTCAACTGCAGCTGCAATGATGACCACTTTTTCAAACCAGATTTTCGCATGACATGTGCCAGTTTTAACACACTCTGTGGCTTTCTCGGCAATTAAAAAAAAAAAGCCGATGCAAGCTGGCGCACGGCAATTTCATTGCAAAACGAGTAGCAATCGCTTTATTTGCCCTTTGTTCAGCTGGAGAGTATCGAGTAGTATATGAATTGTTTGGTGTTGGCAAATCAACTGTGTGTGCAATATTGATGGAATTCTGCGAAGAAGTGTGGCAAGCGTTGTCCACACAGAATATAAAGAAATTGCCACCCACGCAAGAAATAGTTGCTGAATGTGTGAATGGTTTTCATCGCCGTGGCTTTCCACAATGTCTGGGAGCAATTGGTAGGCAAATGGAAGATTTCCCATGTTAATATTAAAAAATGTAGACATTAATTTACAAATTCTTTTCCTGTTTTTTAGATGGATGTCACATCGAAATAAAACCAAACACGACTGATGCAACTGACTATTACAATTATAAGGGATGGTATTCTGTTGTACTTCTTGCGCTTGTGGATTACAGGTAAAAAATATATTTCTTTATTCCCGTTTATTTCATTGTTTAATAACAAAATATTATATGCGCAGATACCGTTTTTTATATATAAATATTGGTGCACCGGGACGTTGCAATCACTCCCACATATATAATCCATCCCTACTTAAAAAGGTGTTAACTGAGGACTAAGTATTGGCGGCCAATAAGAAGAATATATGCACAGAGACCGTTTTTTATATATAAATATTGGTGCTCCGGGACGTTGCAATGACTCCCAAATATATAATTAATCCTTACTTAAAAAGGTGTTAACTGAGGACGAAGTATTGGCGGCCATTAAGAAGAATATATGTGGTGTACAAATGCCGGTCTGTATCTTGGGGGACTCGGCATTTCGTTCCACCACTTTAATGAAGCCATACGCCTTTTCTACGGCCTTGACAGAGAGACAAAAATTATTCAAATTATTTCAAAGTACAGAAGAGTGGTAGAGAATGCTTTCGGTCATTTAAAAGTCCGTTTTCGTCGCATTGGAAAAGGCTTAGATAACCGAATAGGGAACGCGCCGATGATTATTCGAGCTTGCTGTGTTTTACACAACTTTTTAAACGAAGAATGTGATAATATTAATCAAATATGGTTGGGAAATTTGGAATAATTTGAACGAAATCGGGAAAACCCTTCGCAAAATGTTGTACTTGGTGATAACGAAGCCTCAGCTGAAATCATAAGACAATCGTTGTGTTCTTATTTTGGGAAGTAAAAGTTATTCTTTCTCCATAACTTTTTATTGAAAAAATTTATTTATTTATTCGCATTCAGAAAGTAATTGATAAGTTTTATT